TTCAGAAACCCGACTAAAACCTTTGACCCAACAATTCAAAGAGTAAAATAATAACTAAATAAAACATTTGAATTAAAAAGGTATCGTTATGGTGGCCATTCTTATGCTTTTTCACTATGAAACTCTTTTCACTCTGTATTGAAATAATATGTGCATCAACATTTTTCTATGCGCTAAAATATTGCAGTTCCTTAGATAATTGTGAACCGATATTGATGGCTCTAGTAGATTTTTTCAACTTTAACCTGCATTCTTTTCACGAGTTATTCAACAAAACTTTTACTGTCTTGAAGAATCGTACTATTATCATTCATAGTGTCCTCTGCTGTCTTCTGTATATATATATATTATTTTTTCTGTGATAGTGGTCACATTTTTTATTAAGTTCTTCAATTTTCAAAAGCCTATTTACATTTTACTTTGGTCAGTCAATCAATTTTCTAATAATTTCGCTGTTTATGTTTGGTTGTTCTAAATCGACAGTAACTATTGTTATTGTTTTTGTTTGGATTTTTTTTGTATCTTGATCTTTCAAAATGTCCCTCTTTCAATTATTAGCCACATTCTTCATTTTGTTCTTATTTCTGTCACATTCTTCTGTTCTTTTTTTTTTGTCCAAATTATCACTCCATTTCTTGGGCCCGGCATGGACAGATGGTTAGAGCGCTTGACTCGCAATCTGAGGGTCCCACCAAACATGCCCACCTTTTCAGCCGTGGGGACGTTATGATGTGACGGTCAATCCCACTATTCGTTGGTACACAAGGGCTATCTGCGCTAGCCGTCCCTAATTTAGCAGTGTAAGACTAGAGGGAAGGCAGCTAGTCATCACCACCCACCGCCAACTCTTGGGCTACTCTTTTATCAACGAATAGTGGGATTGACCGTCACATTATAACGCCCCCACGACTGAAAGGACAAGCATGTTTGGTGTGACGGGGATTGCGAGTCGAGCTTCCTAACCACCTGGCCATGCCGGGCCAAGTACAGTTGTTTAAACAAGTTGACACATTCCATCTTTCGTTCTAGCTGCACAAAAAAAATTCCAGTAGAGTCATAAAACACCATGTAAAAATTGGTGCATATCTAGTGTGGCCTAGTGATTAGCATGAACCTATGGTTCATGGTTCGCCATCCGTTGCTGCAAAAAGCGATCCACACTTAGGTGCGCAACGATACAGCAAATAAAGTAATAATTTGTATGTTGTAACTCAATACACATCGCTTTGATCAAATATCCTAAACATACGAAGCAAAGTATCTAATGGAATCTAAAAAATATTTTCAATTATGATACTTACTTTCACATCTAGGAGGATCAGCTGACCATCTACCTGAAGCTGTGCATGTGATATCCTTGATACCAATCAGCTTGAAGCCTTCCATACACGCAAAGTGCGCTTTACTATGCATCTTGTTTCCCTCCACTGCCATCACACGGTTGTGATCTACAGACTGAATAGTTGGACACTCCACATCTGTTAGAATATTTTAGAAATAACAATAAAGCTGTGACCTTCTGACTGTATTGTTATATGGAATATTTTACATGTCACAATAAAGAAAGATTAGGCAATGTTAAATTGTATTGTTAGATAGTTCACAGTAAACAATTTCATAAGTAATGAAATTATAACAGGCATTTTGTTATATAATTGTACTTGACGGTTTCATCTTGAAATTGTGAGAAGGTTTTAGCTTAATGGGGTAATTGTTGGCATTCAACATTACTGAAATAATTTGAACAATAAAATTGTAACGGTCCAGAGTCTATTCGACTATAATAGAAATGTATAAAACGTTGAGCCTGAAAAGAGTTTGGAACTATGTCGATTAAATCTTCTTTTAATATGTATGTTTTTATTTTTGGCAAAGATAGTAAAGCCATCTGCTATAATCCT